CTTGATCATGTGAGCAGCTGGTTTTGGTTGTCAGCAGCAAACTGGTTGATCCACTCTGAGAAGGTGCTATTTATAAAACTGAGCTGAATACAGCACCTCAGACTAAAGAAGTCTTTCGGGTGAAAGACGAAACATTTCTACATTTTTGTTTGTTTGTTTTGCTTTGCTTTGTTTTTTGAATGTCAAGAGGACCAGACTTAACTTTTTTAGAATGATTATAGATTCTTGCAGAATACTTCCAAAAACGTATTATAGGCCTCACTAACGTCATCAACATAAACTTTTTGCCAATTATAATTTAATAATTCTGCTTTCATTTCTTCCACAGCTTCAGGTAACTTGACTCTAACTAAATTAGAATTTGGCTTTGTCATATTTAGATTAACTCATTACTAGTATTCAACACAGTAAACACAGGCAAATGATCAGTAATATCAGTTACCGGTATCAACAATCCACTTTGTGTTTTCACATTGAACTTATTTATAAAAATATTGTCAATCAATGAAGCACTGTCTTTGGTTATTCGAGTAGGTCTTAATATTAATGGATAGAAACGTAAATCAAACGTCAAAGTCCATGCTCAATAATCCAGGTATAAAATCCAACATTTTTCAGTCAAGTCATCTGGACAGTTTCTTTTTTTGTGCTGAAACGTTTCGCCTTTGATCCGGAAGGCTTCATCAGGAGGCTTCATCATTGGAGGAGGGGCGTACCAAAGAGACCATCTCATCACAAGCAGAACTGGTTTGTTCCACTTTGGAGTAAGCTGTTGGAGGAAGAATCAGTTTTGTTGTGTGTTTCCTTGACTGATGAAGCCTTCCGGATCGAAGGCGAAACGTTTCAGCACAAAAAAAGAAACTGTCCAGATGACCTGACTAAATCAAACATGTTCACAAATTCACTTGTTTTGATATGCTCATTATATTTCAACAAATCAATGTTAAAGTCTCCACAAATAAAGTAAACTTTTCATTATATCTCTCATACTAGGGATGCACGATATTATCGGAGTGGTATAGGTATCGGCCGATATTATCGTTAAAGTTCAATATCGGACATTCCATCAAAATAACTCCCAATATAAAAGATGCTGTTTTTGTATGACAACCCAGTGACAAGGATGCCTGCAGCGACAACGCAATGTGATGATGTCATGCGCGCCTACCTGATCTGATCACGGCGGAGAGGAAGAAGTCAAAATGTTGGTGGTGTGGAAGGTTTTTTTTTCATTGAGGATGTTGGATTCCGAAGATTTATAGACTATATTGAGCCTCGCTACATCATCCCCAGTCAGAGATATTTTTCCGACGTAGCCTTACCTGAGTTACAAGCCGTCATTTCCACCATCATTGAAAAGCTAATAGCCGATAGCACTTGGGTGAGTTTTTCCACAGACATTTGGACGTTGTGTTAGCCCCGTTAGCATTAGTCTTACGGCACAATGGATAGACAAAAACTTTGAACTTAAAAGGCTGTCCTTCATGCACAAGAGAGCAGAGGATCCACACTGCAGCTAGAAACCTGCAAGTGAGACAACATTGCAGGTGACTAATGCTAATAAATAACATTTAACAATTTTAATTTAATATAAGTTAAAGTGCTATATCATGTGGCTGTTACTGAATATATGTCACCAGCGCTACACAATTTTTGTAGCAAATAAGCCTAAATAAGAGGGCTATGTTCTGACAAAGGAAAGTATATAAAAAGTATCGGTATCGGTTATCGGCCAAATAAGTTTAAACATATCGGATATCGACCAAAGATCCAATATCGTGCATCCCTATCTCATACATCTCTAATATTTTCTTACTAAACTTATCTATGCATGAACAAGGAGTTCGATAGACACAACTAATTAACATGTGCCCAGATCTATTACCCTCAGTTTTAACAGATAAACATTCCATCAAGTTATCAACGGAAAATGTAATTTTAGCAATAACCTTACATTTCAGTCCTGCGCTAATAAACAGTGCAACACCACCTCCCCTTTTGTTAAACCTATTTTGACCAAACATTTGATATCCAGCTAGCCCAGATGTATCAAACTCAAGACCTGGGGGCCAAATGCGGCCCTCATTGACATCTTATCTGGCCCCCAAGATGATATGTGAAATGTAAAATACTTCTATCTCTTAATTTATTTCAGTAATGTTTGATCATGATGTCGAAAGCACAACAGAGAACATTCAATGAGACCAGTCAAACTCTTGTTGAGGAACCTGTGACCAAGAAAAGCTGTTGGGTATCTGATTTGAGTTTATTAAATTTCTGAAATTGGCCCTTAGTTTGAAAAAGGTTTTAATTTTGGCCCCCTTTTGTGAGTTTGACACCCCTGATCTAGATCATCCAACAGTTCATTTCCTTCAGTGATCCAGGCTTCTGAGATTGCTACCATGCAAAATTTCTCATCAAATGTTTGAAGGTAGCTTTTTATTTTAGAAAAATTACTTTGCATGCTTCTACTATTAAAGTGAATTAGTGAACCCCCCCCCCCCCTCCCACATTAATACTGTCTTCAGAATAATATTCACAATCTGGTTTAGTATTATAAGTGAAATTTGTCTCTGGGTCTATAGTTCTAGAATTGCGCCGCTCAAGGTGGCTGCATGTTGGAGCAGCTCTGTTACTTTCATTCTGAGATTTTGCTTTTGGAAACTTTAATTCCTGGTTTTCTGGATGTAAATCACATTTTTTGGATTATTGTTTCCTCTGGTATCAGATGCTGTGTAGCTGGAAGGATTTTTACTGAAACTTTTTTGGTTTTGGACATTTGTTATGATGCGTAACCATGGCAACAAGGCAGTTTTCTACAACGACAGCTGAATAACATCTCAAAAGCTCAAATAATATTTCAACTATGGCCCCAAATCTCAAATGAGTTGAAAAGGATGTTCTGTGGATGCATTCTCATCTACCTGCCAGCTGTGCTCAAGTGCCTGATCTCTGAGATCCTGGAACTAGCAGGAAACACGGCTCACGACAGCGGATAGACAGGATCGTCCCTCAGCACCTACAGTTGGCTGTCCACAGCTATGAGGAGCTCGGCAGACTGCTGGGAGGAGTGGCCATCGCTCTGGGAGGAGTTCTACCAAGCATTCAAGCGGTCCTACAGTCCAGGGGAACCGAGAGGCCAGCCGAGTCTGGGTGGACGGATCAGACGGCATCTGCAGCCAGTTTCTTAGGATCCACTGTGGGATGGACCTTTACAAGAGATCCTTCCTGTTTACAGCCATCAGTATCTATAACATCTCTTAATGAAATGAGGATAACGAGTTACAACAAAATAATTTCCCTTTGGGATTAATAAAGTATTTTTGAATTGAATATCAGTTTCTATATCCTAAAACTTGTGTTCTTTAAAATAAAAACACTTAGTGTACTTTCACCCATGTTTATATGATGTCATTCACTCCATCAACTTGTACAGAACCAGACAGACGGAAAGCAAAAAAGAAAAACCGTGTAACCCATAATACCACGTGTTTGTTCCCCTCTTTTCTTCATCTATATTTCTTCAGCTCAGAAACATTGTTGATGGTTAGGACTTTAGCCTGCTCAGAACCATTCAGTTTTATCAATATTTTACAATTCCTAGTCCATGTGGTTTGTTTTTCCTCCTTTTTCAGAATCCTTCTTGGTAAGCAATCTCTGCATTCTTCTTTGTGAGGTGCTCATTTACAAACAACTGTAACCTTAAGGTTTTTATTTATTTTTTTACAACTTTTAGCAGTTCAATTTTATGTTTTGTACTCACAAATCGAACAATATTTGGTCTTTTGTTCCATTTATCCAAGCTTGTATTTTATTTTTGCAGCACTGTGCAACAAGCAACAATAGTTTTACTATCCAGTGAAATGTTTTTACTGCTGAAGAATCTGATGACTTGCTGCTCAAGTGAAAGTAGTTCATCTGGTGGTGCACCTTCCCCTTTATCGTCTTCTGCTGTTGTTCTTGCATATGTGCGGTGTGTTGTCTTAAGTCCAGATATCACATCCTCCTTTCCTTGTGTACTGTTCCAGGTCATCCACTCTTTTTTCCAGCTCTTCTCATCCTTTTCTTTGACAATTGTTCAGTTGTTGAAATTCTCCAATCAAACGCATCAGGCTTGTTTGTTGCTTCACCACCTTGCTCAGTTCTTCTGACATGACATTCAATGATGGCTTAAGTTCTTCCATGTCTTTTGTCAAATTTGGAGCCATTTTTACTGCTTCAGTTCAGAACAGTATATACAGGCTTTAGAAATTGTGCTTCATTTCAGACGTCTTCTTTAGGAAAGGACTTTCACACTTCAGCAAAACAATCTTTACTGCATTTATTACAACATCATGGCTTTAAATAGATGTGACCTAAAGAAAAGTCTAACTTATGGTTTTAGTGTATTCAGTTTGCATAAAGAAAACATGACAACTAGAACCAAGAAGAAAAAAAAAAGTTTTTAACAAACTTACTTTTTATTTGACATACTTTCTAATTAATACAAAAATGTAGGCACCTTCACCATGAACAGTGAAATTAAAGTCTTGCAAAACTGTTTCTTCAGTTCACCTCAACAACCAAAAACAAATCAAATATTTTATACTGCAAGTCTGAGTAAAATGCAATTTTCATGGATGCTAACCAAACTGACTGTAATGTCAACGGTTTACCTGCAGAAGAGTGAATACTTTCAGTAACACTCAGATTTCCCTTAAAATTATTTTTTATTACTTTTCATGGCAATAAGTTCATTTCAATGCATCATTTATTTTCGAGTTTTGAAAAAATACAATATACTCAGCACTTCATGTTTGGCAGCTGTTTTTTGCTTTCTAGAGTTAAAAATTAATTTCCTCACAATGAATCTTTGGAGAGGGCAATGATGGTGAAACGAACCTCCTGAGGGTCACGAGCCATGAAGAGCTTACAAACTTCTGCAGCATCCTGCAACAACAAATATTCACTTGAGTTCAAAATGAAGGCAACAGTCCTGCTCCTAAACCAAGGAGAGATCTGTTGTATAATTCATCAGAAAGTGAACTTTCCATTTTAGGATTGTTCAAACCTTTTTGTTCAATAACGTCTTACCTCCAAGAAAGTATCTTCTGTTGTATTTCCATGAATGACAGGAAAAGGCTTCCGGCCATCTAGATATTTTTTTAAATTAAATAAAAAATATATATTAAAAAAAAAATATATATATATATATATAAAAACGAATAATCAAAGTCTGAAAGCGTGCTTCCGCCCTGTCACAGCTAAATGTGATAAAAGCCATAAACACGGTGAAATACTGTATATTCAGTCGAGTGCAGAAACAAGTTGGTGTTTTAGGTTTGAACTCACCCAGTTCAAGCAGCTGCCCTCCGACATTAACGAAAGCAATAAAATGCAGATTCACTTTTTCATCTAGACTTGGAGCCTGTACCACACAAACAAATGTATACCAGCTGTTACCTTGAATCTACTCATGCCAATATGTTTGCTACTAATAAATAAAATATAAATAACAGACCTCAGTTTGTCCCTCCTGTGCACTGGATTCATGAGTGACACGTATACTCTGGGGGGTGGGGGAGAGTTGCTTTTTTAACTCTTAAAAATCAAAGTTTATTATCTTTGCAGTTTTTATACATTATATTTTCTAGCTTATTCAAAACGCTGGCAAATAAACACTTTATATAAAATTTGGTAGTGGTGTAACGGTACATGTGAGTGTTATTGAACCGTTTCGGTACGGCATGTTTGGTCCACGTGCGTACTGTTTTGGTTATTTTTTCACTCATTAAATCTTGTTAACAAAAGTTTATGCGCCGTGGAACTAAAGTTCCTAAACGTGTTTCAGCACGGCTCTATATTCTCGCAGCACGCGTTACATTAGCAGCCTAGCAGGAGACCCTTTCATCTCGTTGCGGTCTCCTGTTGGGGAACATTATGGCTTTCTTGTTAAAAGACAAGCGAACAAATCCAAAGCTGTGTGTCGACGTTGTTTCATGGAGATTGGATCTGCAGCAGCAACACATCTAACTTGTTAATGCACTTGAAACAACATCATCCGAATGTGAACGTAGTTTGATGCAAAGACTGATAACAGCAGCATTTAAACAACCTTTATCAGGTAATTCAGATCGGTCCAGAGCAATAACACAAGCTGTAGGAGTTTTTAAAACTCTGGATCTACGGCCATATTCTTTTGCTGATGCGCCGGCTTTAAGCATATATTAAAGTTCTTGAGCCCTGCTGCCTACGACACCCCATTACATCAACACTTCAGCCAAAAAGCTGTAGCAGCACTTTATGAAAAAGCTAAAACTGATCGTCAACAAGCCCTGGAGCAGATTAAAGCCCTGCCCTGATGATGATGAGTGAGAGATTCAAACCACCTCATAACACAAATGATGACCGTTCAAGAAGAGGTAATGTTATTGTATTATTATTATCTAATTAACATTTTCAATTTAAAATTATAACATTATTAATTTTTTTTTTTTTTTTGCCTCTGTGTTTTGGGGTCTGAGGATGTCACAGAGCTGAGCAGCTTAGTCTTCATTTTCAGGGAAATTTTGTATTTATTTTTATACAAACGTATTTTTTACTTGGCATATTTTCAAAATAAATGTTTTGCAAGTCTTTTTGTATCGAAAATTAACTGAACCGAGCCCTCCTTGAAACTGAACCGAACCAAAATGTGATTTTAGCGTATGTTACACAATATTTGGTCATACTTTTTTATGACATTAAATCATACAATTTGAAATTCTGAGTGTAGTTTATCACGTGTATTTTTTAATCCATTGCCTGCACTGATTGCACTTACCTCATCTTTTTCCAGGAAGGTAGCTCTTTCTTCTGGGGTCATTTTAGATGTTTGTTCAAGAAACTCCTTAAGAGGAGAGTTGGGCTCTGGAGAGAAATAACAGACTGTAAACCTACACACACACCTGTCTCAGAGTAACAACTAGACTGTATTTACAACTGTTTATTAAATATATAACTGATATGCTTATAACTAATAAGTCATTAAGGAGCAATTTTGACCAACTTTTTACACCCTTGCTTGAGTTCATTGAGGTTTGCAGGTTTATGTGCAACTTATTTAAAGTTTAGGTACAACATTTCAGCTAAGTAAATCTGGACTTAGACTAGGCCGTTGCAACACCTTAATTTTTTTCCTTTCGTCAGCAGTCCTGTTGTAGACTGGGTGATTTGAATGGGATCATAGCTTTGTTGTTTCATGACACAGCAGCTAATGTCAAATTGATGGCCGCAAATACTGTACGACTCTGAAATGCTTTGATAGATAGAAGAGCACATAGTTGGCATAATGCTGCCATTGCGAATGTACTTTTGTATCCATCAAAGCAAAAAGCACCAAAGTCATCACTTCTATGATTAAAGGAGTATTTGAAGGAATGCATATCACCTCCTGCCTTGCATGTCAAAGTTCTAAGCAAAGTTCTTCAGTGATTTGTTAGTGCTTAGGGATGTCGCTCAGAAATGCCCACATCAAATTTTAGCTCAATATCTAAAAAACCAATGCCTGAATTAAAGCCGTTTGTGTTTGTTATTGTGAATTAGCTGTAGTAGCCATCTTAAATAGACACCTACAGGTAATTCATTGTAGATGTGCATCCAGTGCTTTTAAGTTTTATTTAAACCCATTCAACAGATCAAATTTGGCTAACAGATTAAAGAACACACACATACAGGGCAATTACATTATTGCCCACTTTTTGTGGTGGCGAGCGAGTTGTTTCATTCCAACGTGGAGCTGTGCAAGTATTTATGGTTTGCCAAAAAGCTCCTCTCATCTGTCCTGCGAGTGTTCTCGTTTGCAGCTTTTGTAAAACATGGGTTATGTTCCTTTCAGAGAAAAGGTTTCCTCCTGGTAGCTTTTTCAAACAAACCGTAACTCATCAGCTTATTTCAAAATTCTTGTCATGAGCTTGTAATCTAATCTATACCTACTGTCTTTTATTGTCCGTTTTAAAATACTCACCAAATTCCAAGTGTTTCTGGTTGTTTGCCACTGCATGAATTAATCCTATTGTCCCACAAGCGTTTCCAATAGTTTGCTTGATGAAGTAAACATCAGGAGAGACTAGCTGCCCCTGGTCTTTGAGCCTCTCCTCCTCTTCCTGCTTAAATGCCTCATACTGAGTAGTAAAAATTAAATAAAAACATTCAGCTACATTTCTTGTGGCACGAGTAAGATTCTGTTCAATAAGCTAATTATTACTTCTAAATTGTGAAAGAAGAGGACATCCATTATGTTTATTTTCTTGACACAAGATACACATACCTTCTCTGTGACAGGGAAGAGGAGCAGAACTGCACACACGGGTCTTGGTACTATGCTGAGAACCTCTGGATCCAGTCCATACACATCTCCAAACTGCCAGGTTGGCCTCATACCCAAACAACTGACAAACTAAATACAAGCCGAGAGTCAAATAACATGTTCAACAAGATGTCCGGACGATATCTGACTGACAGGTTTAACACAAACTGAATGTGGTAGTTGCCTCTTGAACATTTAAACCTATAAATAAGTCGACAGAATTATGAGCAACTTTAATATGTTTTTATTGTGTAATCTATTTTTAATAATGGGCACATCTGTGGCAGATAGTTTTTTTAGGGCTGGAGTCTGAACCCATCATAACTTGAAGATTTCTAAAGGATTTGGTCTTAAGGCTGATTTTATGCTGTTTTAAAGAAGCATTAATTCAGCTTTACAGTTATTTTAGAGACGGCTGTAAGTTGCAGTAGCAGTCTAGTGTATTGTAAATTATGTTTGAATTTGCTATACTTTTAAATAGTTTATGTGACTATGCACATTGTTTCGTTTCTTGTCAATAAGCAACAAACAGGTATACAGTACAGTACTATGGAATGACTTACTCTTTTTCATTATTCTGTAAGTGTAGCAAGAGTTGTGGGCCTTGAAATTCTTTCAATGGTTTTAGCTTTGTAAAAAAGGCAAAATAAAGATCTTACCTTAGTCATGACCTAAAATAGAAGGACACAAAATGAATGATGTTACTTAAAACGTTTTCATTTATGCAGGAATCACACCAGCTGCAGCTTTTGTTCTCCATGATGCTAACTACTAATTAGCATTGCCACACATGCTTCCGAATGAATGGCTTCAATAAATATTAATTATGTAAAATAAAACTGATGGTACATACGTCTGGATTCGACTCCAAAGGCAGCCAGCGAGGAGAGTCCATTTTAAAGTATCGTTCGGTGTTTTATTTCTGCCAAACAAGCGCTGAAAATGACTTAATACAATTTGTTTGACAGCTGGGAATCACTTCCGTGCCTGTTAAGGACGCGTCGACATGGAGGAAACACGTAGGGGGAACTTGCTTGTTTAATAAAATAATAGACAAAAATAACCGATAGTTATAGTTTTACTTAAACATAACACGTTTTAATAAAGCTAGTATTAGTTATTCTAATTGTAATATGAGTAAGATTGAAAAGAAAAATTGAAATGATTTTTTTCATTTCAACATCCACTTCTAGTCATGTTAGACCAGTCCAGTTTAGTGGGCGTGGTTTAAATCTACAGGAATCTGGGTGGGATTTTTTAATGCGGCGCTGGATCGCTGTTGTTCATTTATTCTTTTTCACTTATTTCAAATTTGTGCATTTATGGTTAAGACTACAACTTAGAGTCTTTTGCTGTTAGATATTTAGGTGTTTGTGTATATTTGGGAACAGGTGTGTGTTTTTTTCCGCCTTTTCAAGCGGCCAAGTTTCCCAAATGCATCTGACGTATTCTAAGGTCCTCCGGTACGAGAGGCGGCGCTGTGCAGCATTCAGTTAGGAAGGTTTATGCAAACAGCCCGGAAAGAGATGATATTGTTCAAGAGAAGCCGTTTTTCTCATTCGTAATTAACACTTTATCTAGGACAAGGCACAGGGGGACACAAGAAGAAAGCTTAAAAAGAAAAAGCTGAACTGAAATCCGCTACGTGATTGATAAAGATGCCAGCAGCTGAGGAATCATTCGGTGAGTTTAACCTGCTGTTCAATTCTTAGTAACATTTCAAATCTGTCTGTATGTCTCTCTCTCTCTCTGTGTATATAATGTATATATGCATTTTTCCCCTAATGTCCATCATTTTAATTAATCTTTGTGTTGGCTCGCTTTTAGAAAATAAAGTGGGCTAATGAGAAATGTGATTGCAGTATTATTGTGGTGGAGCTGGGATTGTCAGAGCTTTTTAACACTTGTGGTTGAGTTCAGAATATCTTTGTTGTATTGTGTTAACTTTTCTGGTTTGCTTCTGTATTTTAGGCATGAACAGTGTTGTTGACAACATCTGCAGACTTCCCCCAGATGTGTTAAAAGATGCAGTGAGTATGTTCAGTCTTTGTAGCGCCATATCTCTTATTGCTTAAAAACTAGTTGGATAAAATCGGAAGACACTAACTGTATTTAGGTTTAATAATAAAGAAGGCATGTGTTATGCAGCGTTAACGCTAATACTCGAGACCGGTCGCTAGACCACTTTTTGATTGTCTCGGTCTTGTCTCGGTCTCGGACATTGAGGACTCGGGATTTTATTTCAAGACCACAACTGTGGAAATATCACTAAATTGCCAGAATATTGTCCAGTTTATTTGTTTATATCTTTGTTTTTATTGGATGCAAAACGTACTGATTCAAATCCAAGTGATAACGTGACTCATTGCTAAATACATGTTTTTGTTACTGCTGTCACGCCCACCCCCTTTCACTCGCACGTGGTTCTGTACCAACAGAACAATACAGACAACAGAACGTAACGTCACAACCAGAGGTTAAAGTAAGCCGGCATGGTCCAGTACTGCGTACCACTAAAAGATTCTGTCAGTACGCAGTACCTGGAAGAGAGGGCAGCGGCTGTCTGCTGTAAAACCTCGTTCAGAACCAGTCATGGCTGCACTTTGGGTCAGAATAGATTCACTAGCAAAAAGTAGTCTAAAACACAAGTTAATAAATACTTTCTTTTCCACATTTCAAATAGTTTCTGAACTGTTCATGCTCTGCTGGAGCCTCGTTTCTCTACCGCGGTGAAGTTAGTTTTACGTTGGACATTCGAGCTCCATTTCTTGAGCGGTGTGTTCCTCTCATTCGATCCGAAGCAGGCAGTCTGATGTCGGTCAGCTGCGCTCAGTCTGCCCCTCCTCCGAGACGTAATGGTTCGTTTAGGGACCGTCAACAAATTGCTGAACCAAACACTCTTCAGAAACAAAAATTAATATATTTTACATCATAAAATCACTGACGCAAACTAATGTTAAACTATAATAGACCTGACACACAAGACACCATCATTTATTTCTCATTTTAAAACATTTTCTAATGAGCGAAAATCACGATTTTTGAACAAATAAATTATGTTAAATTAGAAAATGCTTTAAAATGAGAAATAAATGTGGGTGCCTCGTCTGTCAGGTCTGGTAGATTAGTTCAATATAAGTTTTGTGTCAGTGGGTCACATGACATGAAAAATATTGTGCAAAAACCACTGAATGTCTGATTTCTTGTGTAGCTTTGAACATTTATGAAAGCTGATATATTCATTCAAAAGCAAACATAAAGTCAAAGTTTTTTTTTTTTTTTTTTTTTACATATTTGTTAAAACTGTCACTATGTCGTGACAGATAGTATAAGACAGATAATCTGTGAAAAGATTGAGCTCCAAGACTTGAGGTCCTGGTCTCGGACACACACACATGTGCGAAAGGGAAAATACAGAGAGTTTCTCCATTGAGGAATAATAAAGCAGATTAGTAATAATAATGGGTGCCTTGGATTGCAGCCCTCTGCTCCACACGGAGGGATGCAGTATCTCAACGATCGTCTGTTGTCTGAAAGAACATCCCATGTAAAAACAATTACCAACTCTTTATGCCAGTATGTTCACTGTGTCGACCTCTGAAGGGAGAAAACAAAAAGAAAAACCCATTAACCCATTTTTTAT